GAGGCAGAAGCAGGCTCCCTGCCGAGCAGGGAGCCCGATGCGGGACTCGATCCCGGGACTCCAGGATCATGACCTGAGCCGAAGGCAGTCGTTTAACCAACTGAGCCACCCAGGCGCCCTGTTTCATCTTTTAGATTTCACGTATGAGTGAAATCATAGAGTATTTGCCTTTCTCTGTCTGACTTATGTCACTTAGCATAATACCCTTAAGGTCCATCCATGCTGTTGCAAATGGCAAGATTTTATTCTTTTTTATGGCTAAGTAGGGGCGCCTGGGTGGCTCAGTCATTAAGCGTCCGCCTTCAGCTCAGGTCATGATCCCAGGGTCCTGGGATCGAGCCCCACATCGGGCTCCCTCTCTCACTTCCCCTGCTTGTGTTCCTGCTCTCGCAATCTCTGTCAAATAAATAAATAAAATCTTTTTTATGGCTAAGTAATATTCCACTGTGTGTGTGGGTTTGTGTGTGTATATATATATATACACACACACTACCTCTTTATCCATTTATCTATCACTGGACATTTCGGTTGCTTCCATATCTTGGCTATTGTAAATAATGCTGCAATAAACATGGGGTGCATATATCTTTTAAAATTAGTGTTTTCATATTTTTGGGTTAAATGCCCAGAAGTGGAATAGCTGGGTCATGTGGTAGTTCTGTTCTTAATTTTTTGAGGAATCTCCATACTGTTTTCCATAGTGGCTGCACCAGCTTGCATTCCCACCAACAGTGCACAAGGGTTCCCTTTTCTCCACACCCTCACCAACACTTGTTCTTTCTTGTCTTTTTGAAAATAGCCCTTATAACAGGTGTTGGGAGGTATCCCACTGTGCTTTTGATTTGCATTTCTCTAATAATTAGTGATGTTGAGCATCTTTTCATGTACCTGTTTGGCCATCTGTATGTTTTCTTTGAAGAAATGTCTATTCACATGCTTTGCACATTTTTTAACTGGTAATTTATTTATTTTTTTGTTGTTGAGTTGTAGGAGTTCTTTATATATATTTGGATATTAACCCCTTGTCAGATATTTGGTTTGCAAATATCTTCTCCCATTCGATATGTTGTTTGTTCATTTTGGTGATGGTTTCCTGTGCTGTGCAGAATCTAATGAGATTCTGTTTGATGTAGTCACATTTGTTTATTTTTTAATTTTTTTTAAAGATTTTATTTTATTTATTTATTTGAGAGAGAGAGTGTGACAGAGAGCGCAAGAGGGGGTAGGGTCAGAGGGAGAAGCAGACTCCCCGCTGAGAAGGAAGCCCAATGCTGGACTTGATCCCGGGGCTCTGGGATCATGACCTGAGCCAAAGGCAGTCGCTTAACCAACTAAGCCACCCAGGCGCCCATATTTGTTTATTTTTGCTTTTCTTTCCATTGCCTTTAGAGTCAGATCCACAAAGACGTTCCTAAGACTGATGTCAAGGAATTTACTGCCTATGTTGTTTTCCCCCTAGGAATTTTATGGTTTCACGTCTTACATTCAAGTCTTTAATACATTTTGCATTAATTTTTGTGTATAGTGTAAGATGGTGGTCTGGTTTCATTCTTTTGCCTGTGGCTGTTGAGTGTTCTTGTTACCATTTATTGAAGAGACTGTCCTTTCTCCATTGTATGTTCTTGGCTCCTTTGTTGTAGGTTAATTGTCCATATCTATGTGGATTTACTTCTGGGCTCTTAATTCTGTTCCAATGATTCATGTGTCTGTTTTTATACCAATATCATCCTGTTTTGGTTACTGTAGCTTTGTAGTATATCTTGAAACCAGGGAGCATGGTACCTCCAGCTCTGTTCTTTTTCAATATTGCTTTGGCTATTTGGGGTCTTTTGTGGTTCCACACACATTTTAGAATTACTTGTTCTAGTTCTGTGAAGTAGGCCATTGAAATTTTGATTAGGTATTTCACTGAACCTGTAGATTGCTTTGAGTAAAATGGACATTTCAACAATATTAAATATATATATATATTAATTCTTTCAATCCAAAAATATGGAATATCTTTCCATTTATGTGTGTCTTCTCCAATTCCTTTCATGTTTTCTATATTTTTTAAATTAAGAACATGTGGATTGATTTTAGACACA